CGGGGAAAAATGTTGCTGAGTTTCTAGTAAAAGTTCCTATGGAATAGTAATAATTCTACTTTTATATTAAAAATTACTATTCATAGTAAAATGTACTTCGCATGAAGTAAATATTACTATTTCTGGTAGTAAAAATTACTAATAGTAATTATTACATTAGTCACTTTTAAAAATTGCTTTAAGAATTTTAATTTTTACATCGTCATTGTTTTTATTAAATTTTGTATTACTTTTTACATTCGATATGTTGTAAATATTACTCGTAGAAATTCTACTAATTACTTCTGCAAGAAACAACTTTTACTATTGAAGAGCTAACTTTTTACTCGAAAAAGTAGTAATCCGTACCACTACTACTATAGACCTGTGTGTGTGATGACGTCACTACTGTCATGCCCACCGATCGTAGCCTGACGTCAAAGTCATTATGATTATAGGGGAGAGTGGGGCAAAGGCGCTAGGTTTACATATATCGATGTATATTTTTTAAATTAAGCAATTAATTTATGTAGTCTTTGTTTTTCATTATTCTAAAACTAATCAACAAGAAATTTTAATAGTTGTTATTTAGTAGGGTAGAGTGGGGTAAAAAAGCCACATTTTTACTTTTGATGCTGTAAAATCTGTATTTAAAATTTTTTTCTCAAATTTCCAATTGTTATTAAAAGTTTAGTTATTAAGCTTGAAAATTCTTGACGGAAATATTTTTTATCTCATGAAAGGACTAAGTTATAAGAGTTTTACGAAAGCACTGTAAAGGGCTTTTTTGCACCACCTGGTGGGGTGAAAAAGCCACCTTACGACTTTAGCAAAACATGTTATCAATTTAGGTATTTTTATAGTTTTCCTTTATTTATATGACAAATAGTCTTATTTGAAAAATATTTTAATAATTATGTAAGAGTTTTTAGCAAGCAAAATTGAAAATTATATTAAGTTTACCTGTTTTCGATTTGCACTGCCAATTTTTCGTAAGTTTTTTAGAAGTTCTCTTTAAGTTTCACCACAGATAACATATTTCGTTGCAACCGTTTATTCATTGTTTATTTTTTTAATGCACTTTGAAAAAAGTAAAAATAAATTGTTAATTCAGTTCAATTTCCAAAAATTAACATTGTATACGTTTTCGGTATACTTTTCTCCTTATGTACAAACATTTACTTTTATTATTCGTTCACTTAATCAGATTGTAAAATGTTTGAAAAGTTCACCAAAATGTTTTCAAAAAAGCAACAAAAAATTAAAATTACAATAAAAACAATATTAATCTAGGTACAACATTCAAACTAGATTCAAAAGTTGCGTATTACCTAATAGTATTTATATTCTAAACGCAGCTGATAAATCGGCTTAATAGTTTCTAAATAAAACTCAAATGGCTTTTTTACACCATGGCTTTTTCACCCCACTTTACCCTATATTATAATTATAAACTAGCAGAGCTACGCGCGCGCGATATTTCTCCTTTTGTCTTATGATACTTAAGACCTTATTACATTGTGTGTATATAAAAATGTGACTAAGACTTTAAGATGTTTTTTTCTTCTTCTGAAATATTAGAAAAAGATTGCAAATTTTTTTGAAGAATATTGAAAAACGTAAAACACGAAAACCAATAATTAAATTTAACACACTGAACAGTTTCACGACATAAATATAATAATATTATTTTATTTTCATAATTATTTCCTTAAATTTTCTGTTTGCTGGAAAACTGTAGGGGAGAGTCTCCAGTTGTGAGACGGGTTTTATTTGTGGCCCGTAAATTGTAAACGGGTAAACGAAATTGTAAATAAAATACACCGTTCGAAAGGTAACAGAAATACGCAACTTTTATTAAAAGAAAGTGTAGTGTTTCGATGAACTCAAAAAATTTTACGATACATTTTCGGAGCACATCGCTTTTTTCAAAAAAAAAAAAAAAAAATGTCTCCAGTTGTGAGACACTCATTAAAAATTGCTCAAATTTTATAAGTTTGACATAAAACGTTATGTTTAGTAGAAATAATTAAATATATTAATAATATATATTATTATATACTAAATAATAATATTTATTCGCCTTTATTTAGTAAACCTTTATTCAGCTATCAATTTCGAGTGTTAACTTGACTGAAAGTTGTGACTACACGGAGAGAAATTTATAGTAGTGGGTAACATAATGATGGTTAGGGTGACCATCTTTAATGCTTTAAAAAAGCGTCGCCGCGCCATAGCACCATACTGCACAAGTCGCGTAGTACGTTACCGTAGCCGTGCATTGCCGCTGCAACTAGGCCTATTTTTTACAAAAACTTCAATATCTCCGGACCCAGTTGAGTCTCCATAAATTTTTTTTATGAAATTAAAGGTAAATTCATAAGGAATCCAAATATGTTAATAACATTTTTCTCAGAGAGGAGTAAATAAACAAAAAATTGTTTAAAAATTTTTTTTAACTTTTTTATTTAAAAATTAATTTTTTTTAAATAACTTTATTTGCATTTTAAAATACATACTTTTAAAATAAAATGTGTAAATTTCATTAAAATCCATATACAATATTCCGAGATATTCAAAATTTTATAAAATTAATATTAAAATTTAAAATGGCGTATCTTCAACAATTTTGAATTTTTTTTGAAAAAATTTGGGGGAAAGAAGTCTCTTATATAGAACTATAATCCCACGAAGTTTTGCGGAAATCGGCATACCCTTTGCAATCGTGATATTTCTGACGTGAAATGCCTCATCTACTAAAAATGAAAATACCAAGTGCGTATTCGTTAGGTTCAGGTGTTCGCGTCACCCTACTCTCTAAATTTGAATCAGCGAAAAGTCGCTGATTCACCAGCCCAGAGTATGCAGCTGATGAAATAGCGTATATACACTGATAAAACAGCGTATATGCACTGATTTTCCAGCGTATATACGCTGTTTCATCAGCTGCATACTCTGGGCTGGTGAATCAGCGTTAAATATTTATTTCATAAGTTTAAATTAATTCAAAGGCATATAAATACAAAATCAGTTATAAATATGTTCAATATATAATAATTAATTATTTTTTTTAATTATATTTACTTTTTGTCTTTTATCAGATAATAAATAAATAATTATAAATAATTATAAATAATTATGATAATAATAAATAATAATAAATAATAATAATTATAAATAATTATGATAATAATAATAATAATAATAAATAATTATGATACACAGTCTAAATCTAATATTATTATCCTAGTCAATTACACTATTTTTTCTGGTTACATTGACTAATTTTCCTGGTCACTTTAACTATGCTTGCATCTTATTACTTTGACTAGGATTCTATAATATTGTCACCTTAATCCGCAAACCTCGTAACTCCATTTAATGCAACTTTACAGGAGAGCAATAAAACTGTTTATAAACATTAGATTTGATATTTAGGCAAAAGTATGGATTTTATTTGATGTTGAGGGACTCTTTTTGCATATTACTATGAAATTTTGTAACTTAATTCTTTCTACAACTGCTTATTCTTCAAATAATGGAGTTACGAGGTTAGTACTTCATACAATTAAAAAATTTCAGGAGTTACGAGGTTAGTACTTTGCACGAATAGTAATTTGAACTATTTCAATCGGATAAATTAATTAATAAAATCAGTAAAATAAAGAAATAAATACTTGGGTCAAATAATATAAATAATTAATTATTTATTTAAATTCAATTTGATGTAATTATATAAAGATAAGGTACATTGGACATTTTGTACTTTGTATGTTAATCAGTCTTGTTTACTTAAATTATTCATAAATATTTCTGAATTTCAACAATTAAGACTCTAGAACAAAAAAACATCTTATTTACTTAAAACAGCCTTCGTGTATCACCGAAATTTCATGTTAATAATAGTTTAAAAATAATAATACGAAAACTAAATATTCGAAACGAACTATTCTTCATGAGGAATACAGTCATAAAAATTGTGGAAGTCTTTTGGAAGAGAGTCTTTTAGGCTCTGTAAGTCATCATACTTCCTTTTAGTGACTTTCAGTCTTTCTTCGTAGAGATTTGACAAGCTAGTTAATTCTCTAGGTTTAACAACTTGATTTTTTTTTTGTAACAAAATACACCACGAGTCTGAAAATTTCAACTTGTAATAAATTTGCCCATTAGGATTGTACTGTATTGCTCTTAAATCGGTAACGGTTGGATCTCCAGACTTTTTACCAGGACGGATAGATTTATAAAATAGCAAGTTCTTAAAAGAACAAAAATAATCATACGACAAATATTTAACATTATAAGGTCGAGGATGAATTCTAGCCTCTTCGCATATATTGATGTATTCTGCAGGAACGTTAATGATCTTGTTTTTCATTTTTCTTTCAACGCACGCATGTACACTGTTGACCTCCATTTGTGTATGTCCTTTTTCTAAATATTTTTGCTCTATTTCTACATTGTTTAAAATAGCTACATTTAACAAGGCATTAGCCATTACATTACACATATGTAAAATTTATAGAAAGCCTGTTTTGATGTCCAGTCAGGTTGAAGATAAAGTTTTGACGTATTTTTCCTACAATAATGACTTTCCATTAAGGGTAAAGATTCTATAAAGCGTTTCAACTCACTATTTTCTTCTTCAGAAGAAGTTTTAGGCTTTTCTTTCTTACTACTTTTGTAATTTCCAACATTGTTCAGTCCTTGATTTTTCCAATTTAGAATAGTCCACTCTCCTATAGCTAAAGTATTTACATACATTTCTTTACAAACTCTAATTTTTTCTTCTCCTGGTTGTAGATAAAATTCATATGTAAAATTACGCCTTGATTTTGATTCATTTTTTCTGTCCCCTGGTCTACAGATTTTACTTTGTTTCATTGTACTATTAACAAATATTTTTTTTTCATCCCAACTAAGTGACCAAAACGTCTTAAAAATATCTTGTCGATCCTTATCCTCTATCTTATTACACTTCAGTCTACCATTTTTTTCACTGAGTTTGCAGTTACATCTAGGTTTTACAATTCTTCCATTCTTTTGCCTTTATATGGATAACCAAATTCTCTTTTTCGTTGATCTATTTCCTGTTTCCAATCAGAACTCTTTTTTCTAATCCTTTTCCTTCGTTTTCTTCTTTTTTTAATATCTGTTTCACTATCGGAGCTATCAGAATAAGGGACAATTTTTCTGTCCATACTATCGTCACTGATCAATAAATCAGCATCTGAAGAAGTTGATGGGTTACTAAATTCTGCTCGAATATAACAATTCTTATCAGAAGCACCACTGGTATTGACTGGAACAGCATCTAAAACATTTTTTTTGTAAATAATGAGTAAAAATATATTCCAATAATTATATTCCAAGCTAACTTTTTTAATATAATGCCTTAATTTGAACTTAACTGTATTTCGTACAATTGATACAATTATAATTAAATTCGTAATTAATAAACGTTTTGTTTAAAAAAAAAATTTTTGAAACGTTTTTTATATTTGTTTATTGAGTTTTGTTAAAAATGTAATGTTAAAAATATAAGAACGAAAAATTTATTATTTCTACCTGTATAACTTGAGAAAAAATGAATGAATCGGAAAAGTATAGTTTTTTATCGAAGTTTAATCTTTCAAAATTGTTTGAAATTTTAAGGTTATGTCAAGGAATAAAATCTCTAAAGATATAAAATTTTAATTTAACGTACCAGTACTGATTTCATCAATGTTGTTGCTATTGTCTTCGTCAAGAATATCTGGATTATGATTATCAATTCTTTGTGTATTTCTGGCATTTTTTCTCTCTATACTATTGTCGTTGATCAAAAAATTAGCATCTGAAGAAATTGATAGATGGCTGACTAAATTCTGCTCGAATACAACAATTCTTCTCAGAAGCACCACTGGTGTTGACTGAAACTGCATCTAAAACATTTTTTATAAATAATGAGTAAAAATATATCCCAGTAAAAAAAATATATATAATGCCTTAATTAGAACTTAAATATATTTTGTACAATTAATACAATTATAATTAAAATTTGTAATTGAAAAACGTTTTGTTTTAAAAAAAAAAATTTGAAACATTTTTTATATTTGTTTAATAAGTTTTGTTAAAAATGTAATTTTAAAAATATAAGAATAAAAATTTGTTTTCTTTCTACCTGTATAACTTCAGAAAAAAATAGCTGAATTGTAAAAGTATCGTCGTTTTTTATCGAAGTTTAATCTTTCAAAATTGTTTGAAATTTTAAGGTTATGTCAAGGAATAAAATCTCTAAAGATATAAAATTTTGATTTAACGTACCAGTACTGATTTCATCAATGTTGTTGTTATTGTCTTTGTCAAGAATATGTGGACTATGATTATCAATTCTTTGTATAATTCTATTTTCACGAATAAAGACTTTTTTTTGAGGTTGTTCTGATACATCTTGATCAATGCTGCTTCCAACCACATTTCGCTTTTTTGATTTTTGTTTTCGCCTTTTTACCTACAAACAATGAGATTTAATATAAAAACACATACCGAGTAGTTTAGCTTATACTGACATTTCGAAAACGTAAACAATCCGCAATATATCAAATTTCTCAAGATAAATGGCTGAATAAAATTATTTTACTTATTTTTAGTTTCCTATTTCTATTTTTTTATTGACTGAATATATTTAAAAAACTGATAAAAACTTACCATTGTATCCAAACTGACGTTAAAAAACTTTTAGTAACTAAAAACACACGCTGCTAAGATTTGAGACCGACACCTGTTTGTTCAATTTTGACAGTTTTCCGCCATCTTGAATAATCATAGATGGAGTTACGAGATTTGCCATTTAAAATTTTTCGCAGTGGAGTTACGAAGTTTGCTGGGCAAAGTTTTTAGACTGTTTTTTATTGCATAACAGTTTTATCATTTGAAATATATATTTGTTTATTTATAAAGAATCAGAAAATACAAAAAACTAAATTTCGACCAAAAGTGGAGTTACGAGGTTTGCGGATTAAGGTGACGATATGTTCCTCTCGTAACTAGGAAACCTAATCAATTCCTGATATACGGGTCCTAGGCATTTTTTATGAAACTGAAGTTACCAACGAAAAAATTTTCTCTAAAAAGTTCATTATACTAAAAAGTTCATTATTATTTTAAAAATAAAAAAAAGTTGAGAAAACAGAAGTTGTTATTTTTTTCTCACGGATTTTCCAAAAGTCACGAAATTCCTCACCTCGGTAGTCATTTTTTTCTTTTGATAATTGTTTATTTTAATATTAGACGCTATTTAAAAAAAATTTCAAGTGATTCCAAGTCGGGAAAAGCAGTGATTTTGAATTTTTTTGTGTCACAAATTTTCCAAAAATTTCGAAATTTCAACTTAATTAATGAGTCCTCGACTAAGTAGTAATTTATTTCCTTTGATAATTGTTTATTTTAATATTAGACACTATTTAAAAAAGATTCAAAGAGGATCGCAGGCGTAGAAAGCAGTGATTTTTATTTTTTTGTCGAATATTTTCCAAAAATCACGAAATTTGAAGTAAATTAATTAAGTAAGTTATAAAGAAATTCGATAATTATTAACAAATGCAAAGTTATTAAACAATTAAAACGTGCTTTTTTAATGGTTTAAATTCATTTGCAACTAAACTAATTAACCTTTTTTAACTTGAGACCCGTCATTTGAAAGCTATTTTCAAGCACTACAACTTTCAATAACATCTTTTTCTTCTAAAATATACACTGAGAGAAAAAAAGCACAGATTCTGAAATGGAAAAGTTCAGCATCTGTACTCCAATTGAACGCAGCAGCAGTGCCACTGTGTGATAGGTGTCGTGCTAAAATGTGAAACGGATTTTGACTTTGGCTTCACGGAGAGAAAAAAAAGAGAGCCGTTTGATTTGGCAAGAGAGCGCTGTTTTCCCTTTATAAAGCGCAGCAGTAGCGCCGCAAACGTCGAACGGTTATACTTTTTGAGGAGTATCGGTTCTCTTCTCCACACAAATAGAGCCGCTTACTTTCCAAAAAGTGTACCCGCTTTCCCCAAAAAGGAGAACCGTTCTCCCCTCGAGAGTAAGCAGCGTGCTTAACCTCAAGTTAAACGGCTGTTTCGCATTTAACGCAACCGCTCTACCGACAGGTAGAGCCGCTTTCTTTTTTTTCTCTCCGTGTTGAGGTACAGATGTTGTACTTCAAATGCTACTGTTTAGAAGTATAGTATCTGTCGGTCGCTATGAAACAGATCCTGTACTAATTAGTTCGTACCGCCGCCGCGCTGCTTGAGCATAGTATCTGAACTATGAATGACACCAACTGAATAAAATTAAGAACGGGCACTGACACGCATTTTACACGGCCGGTGTTTGTCACAGTACGGAATTTGTGCTTTTCTTCTCTGTGTAACTGAGCTACAAGTTAATGATGAAAAAAATAGTTTTCTTTCAATTTGACATTAAAATTCAAGGTCAAATTCTTAATTTCAATTTAACTGAAAATCGGTTATTTTTTTTCTAACCTATGATTTTTGTGTCCTATCCAAAAGTCAAGCCGATATACTCTCTAAATTTGAATAAGTGAAATTTCACTTATTTTAAGTGAATATTCACTTATTACATGTTTCAAAACTCTTCCACCCCAATGGGAAGTAAACGATTGGTTCAATAATGGGCCATGCTTGGCGAACTCCGTTCCATTATTGGAACCACCCCTATCCGACTCTTGCAATTTTTCTCAGCTCTTAGTGATGCCACGAAAACTCGAAGTTCGTGGTGGCGCCACTGTCGTTCCCCCCTATGAATATTCTGTTTCATCGGTTTTAACACAACAGTTAAAATTTGTTTGCTGTCATTTATTTATTCGGTAAAAACGATGTAACTTATTTTTAAATATAATAGAAATTTTTTTCTATTATAACAGTAAGTGTTGACATATTTTTAAAAATAAAGTATGTCAAAAAGTAAGTGCATAGTGCCGAATTGTACCTCAGGGTATTCGAGTTGTATATATTATATATATATATATAATTATTATATATATAATTATAATTATTATATATATATATATATAATTATTATATATATAATTATAATTATTATATATATAGTTGTTATATTGTGAAAATTTATATCCGTTCACTTTTAAAAGAAGACAGTTTCCTATAAAATTGGCTTTCGCAATGACTATTAACAAGTCTCAAGGACAAACATTTAACAGAATATATATAGTTTTAAGAAGAGATGTATTTAATCACGGTCAGATGTATGTTGCATTGTCGAGGGTACGTTCATTTGAATCCGTAAAAATATATTTAGGAGATAGTAGAAGCGATATGTATATAAAAAATTATGTTTATAGTGAAATTTTTGAATAATTGAGAGGCCGGATATATCAACTGCCGCTACGCACAGTCGTAAAGGACCATATCAGTCAATGAGCAGTGAGCGCTTTTGAGCCTCTCACTGCTACCTGACTGGTATTATCCCTTGCAATAGCGCGTAGCGGCAGGTAATACATTTGATTCTTCAATTTTAAATACGTTTAGTTTGCTATATTTATGTTTTTCGGGATTTATAATGTTAAATATATACAGTACCGGGCAAATTTGTGAGTTCTACCACTTTTTAAAGGAAACAAAAAATTTTTTAACATAAAATTTATTAAAACTGAAATTTTTTTCTGTATATGTTTGGAAAGATGATAAAATTTTGAAAAGAATAAAACCTTACAGAAGTCATTTGGAATTAATACATATTCCCAGTTTAAATTTGACTATTTTTGAAGTAAATTTTACTATTTCTGAATCGAAATTTTTCAAATATTTTTTAAAGATATTTCTTTTGAAAATAGTTAAAACGTTCCAACAAAAAATTTGATTAAAAAATTAGAAAATTTGCAGACTATGAAAATTGATAAAAAATATCACAAATTAACAGAACAAATATTAAATTTTTACTATTTCCAAAATAAATTTTAATACGTTGATAGTTTATTTTACTAAATATTTACTAAATATTTTCTTCAGATGTTATGAAATTTACTCCGAAAATAATGATTTTTAAATAGTAAAGTTTACTATTTCCACAATTGATATTTATACATAAATTTTTTTTAAATTTGTTTAAACATTTATTTTTGTTTTAAAAATCCATGCATTATATTATATTCGCAGACAATTTTTGTAAAAATTAGTAACATTTACTTCAGAATTGGTAAAATTTCCTCTAAAAATTGTTAAGTATTTTTGTGCTAAAGAGTAAAATAATTTCATCTTTGAAGCATTTTTAGGGTTTCTACAAATTTCTCCTTATAAAATTTCATGATTTTCAGGTGATAAATGATAAAATTTTCACGACACATTAAAACAAAATTTTTGTCAGTTTAGTCAAGTAAATGTCGTAAAAAAATTTTTTAGCAGGGAAATTGGAAAAATTCTGATTTATTCGATCTATTTTCCAAAAATTGAGACTTTTTCGACTTTTCTTCCAAACATTACAACAAAATACCACAATTTTACTATTAGTATTAGCGTGTGCGTTCGCGCGCAAATCGAGTCTTTTGATTTGGGAGCTCAATTGTTTTTGAATAGTCAAAATTTTGTAAAATTTAATTGAAATTATTTCATGTATCTCAAAAATTAAATTATTTTTAAAAGATAAAGTTATAAAAGGCTTCCGACAGCACTGAAAGTGTCTTTTTTGTACCATCTGATGAGGTGAAAAAGACACCCCGCCATTTTAGCAAAATATGTTATTAATTTTGGTATTTTTAGTTTTCCTATATTTAAATGACAAATAATCATATCTATAAAATATTCTAATAATTTTTACAGAGTTTTTAATAAAGAAAATTGAATTTTATGTGAAGTTCACCTGTTTTTGATTTATACTGTCAATTTTTCGTCCCTTTTTTAAAAGTCCTCTATAAGTTTTACTATAGATACCATATTTCGTTCGAACCGTTTATTCGTTGCTTATTTTTTTGTGCACTTTAAACTATTTTTTCGTCGAATTTAATTAATTTTTTTAAATAAATACGAGAAATTTTGTAAAATAAGAAGTTTGGTTTAAGTAGAAAACAAATAAATTTCACATAATATTCAATGGATGTTTATTTCTGGCTTTCTTACCCCCAACACAATTTTTTCAAAAAACTAAAATATACTTTAAATTTAGTTCAATTTCCAAAAATTAACATTATATACGTTTTCAGTATTTTTTTCTTTTTATGTACAAATACATAAAAATAAATACATAAATACATAAATAAATACATAAAAATACATACATTTTTATTACCCGTTCACTTAATAGGGTTGTAATATTTTTTAAAAGTCCATCGAAATGTTTTAAGAAACGTAATTTAAAAATTAAAATTACAATAAAAACTTTATTACCATAGATACAACATCCAAACTAGAATTAAAAGTTGCATAATATTACATACTAGCCATCATACTCGTCTTCGATGGTTTTTATTTTCTACTAATATATTGGAAAGGGTGTCTACCAGCCGTGAATTTAAAATTTGACAGAGATAAACTAATAATTAGTTACCATTAACTATTTCATTAGAAAAATACATATATTTGAATCAGTGATTCCCTTTTTTCTATCCTTTTGTAGCTACTTGTAGATTTATTTATGGTTAATATTTTTAAAGTTCTTTCAATGAAAGAATATTGGTTGAATTGGATAAATAAATAATTCTGAATTGGGAGCGTTCAGAAATGATGTTACGCAATTTTTGTAGATTTTTTACCCCCCCCCCCCTGTCAACTGTAATAGTTTCCATATTCTGAAGAAATGTTGAAAGACATTCATTTTTTCGGAAGACATAAAAAAATTAGTCACATCACTGAAAAAGGGGTCTTTCTAGAATATCTTATTAAAAAATTAATATTTTTTGTTGTTAAGGAGTCATTTTTTGCAGAATTTTATACGTTTATTGAAAATAGAAAGGAAAAAATTTTAGTTATTTTATTTTCCAAGTTAAAAGATATCGAATAATCATAAAATAATAAAAGTCGCAAACTAATTAAATAAAGCTTTC